GTGCACCAGGGTGAGGGTTCCGTCTTCTGAGAGATCGCGGTCGAAGTAGCTGTAGTTTCTGGAGACTTCAAAGTAGATTTCCAGGGGAACACAAGGGAAATATTTCTCATGAGGGCCGAGGGGGTCTAGTACTTGTGTGTCAAGGGGATCAACGTGCCAGTAATTAAAGCTTTGGCTCAACTCGTGAAAGACGTCTTCCATATCGCAAGTCACCCGACGATTAAAAAATAAAAAATAAAAAAAGCTAGCAGCAATAGTGAATATCAATAGACGCAACTGCGCTAGCATACACAAATATTTATAGGTCTTAAATTCTTAGAATTTTGGAAACCGAATTGATTTCTAAAACTGTTTACCTTTTGGTCGTAGGAGTCCCAACTTTATTTTTTTTAGGAAGCCTTTGGATACTGTACTTAACTATGAATATTCTTTGATTGAAACCTAATTGATTTTTAATTTTTTATCGAGGTCCCTGAAATTAATGTGATAATTTATTTCTATATATGTTGCCAATTTTTTAAATTAAAAATTAGAAATTTTAGTTGTTTTTATAAATGAGATTTTAAATAAAAAAACCATAATTTGTGGGATTAAAAATATTAAAATATAAATACACTATTGTGTGTGTGTATATATATAAACATGGGTACATTCATAAAAATTAACCAAAAAAATTATTGTATCAAAACATGGGTACATGCTTCAAAATCAAAAAAAAAAAAAAGAAAAAAAAAGATATTAGGCTTCATAACATTAGTAAATTTCTTTGATTAAACTTGACATGGATACATTTTAAAATCAAAGAAAAAAGAATGCACCCATATAAGTTTAAAAATGGATTAGAAAAAAATTGAATAGATTTTATATATAAAAAATGGTACATTTTACATATAAAAAATTGGTATATTTAAGAATGAGTACATTTTAACATTAAAAAGTTTTACATGAATGGGTACATATAATTAGTATGGGTACATTTAGCAAAATAAAAAGTACAAATAAAAAAACTATATGGGTACAAATACAAATAAACTTTAAAAAATATGGGCACAAAAAGAAATTAATATATGGGTACAAATTAAAATTGAAAAGAAAATTGGTACAAATTAAAAATGGGTACAAACTAAAACTAAAAATATATGATAAAAAATTTAGTCATAAATATAAATATACTAATTGTAACATTTTTAACATTAAATGAATATATTTAGAAATAAAAAAATATTTTATTATTAAAATAATTAATGATATTATTAATACCCAAGGACCTTGATAAAAAATTGAAAATGAATAAATTTTAATCAATGGAGTTGCAAAAAAAAGGATGAGAACCTAATTTCTCCTTTTTTTTTTCTATTTAGTTAAAGAATATTGCAAAAAAATATGTGAAATAAAGAACGGAGAAATGTGAAAGAAAAAAAACAATGTGGGTTTTTTATTTGATCAATAATTTGCCGATATGTTCGCAAACATTTCCAAAATTATTCAATCCAATAGTTTTTTTGTTTTTGTCGAAATTCAATCCAATAGTTTCGATCATGACATTATGCCACCACTTCTTTTTAGGGTTTCTCAACCTCCACGGTTGAGTCGAGAATCATAACCAATAGAGCCTTCAGCTGCCACATTCCCAATATTTGTTCCCTGTGATTGGCTAGAAGAACTCTGCCCCAATGCTCCCTCAGCCGCAACAGGAAGAACTACATCATCAGGTTGATCCTGGAAAACAATTATATAATCGGAAATTAACCAACACAATTATAACTCCTCTCTCCCAATCTATTGCCTTGAGGTTGGCATGTTACCCCCAAGGCAATGGATTGGCGCGCAGAGGAGCTAGGGTGTAGAATCACCGTTTATAACTTCGATTTTAAGTTAAACAAAGGCTAAATTTTACTTTTGCTCTTTGTAGTTTGTTCAAGATTCACTTTTGGTGCCTGTAGTTTGTATATGTAGTTTAGTAATTAAGTTGTTGTAATTCAAGGACACCTTTCAATTTCAATTAAATTTTCATGGCGGAAGTAGTTTATAGTGTTCTTACAATCCGAAATAACATAAAAGGAGCACAGTTGGACCAGTCCAAATTACAGAGACCAACAATAAACCTCAACAAAACCACAGGGACCAAAAAACTTGGCGTCAAAGAAAATTAAAGTGATGAAGCTGATGATCAAAACTAAAGTAAATTTGACTTACAATTTTATCATTATCTATTTGATTTTGTTGAGCAGGACTCCTGGAGCAAGAACAAGAAAATGATGTCAGTCTGATGAACGAACCTGTATATATGGCGACAATTAAAAAAGTTCATGTTTATCCCTTCACTTGTGACTTATGTATCTTCAGAGGAAGGAAAGGGCATGCAAGAACTCAATTCTTGCCATATATGCTCTCTTTTTTTCGAAAGATAAAAATTTATTAGAAATTAAATTCGAACAGTTACATTTGCATCTTCTGCTAAAATTTTGAAAAGAAACTCAGGACCTAATTCATCCCAGCCAAATCTCCCGCCTCTTGCCATATGTTCATTGTTCAACGTTGTAAAGAAACGGATATATGGAGCCAGAAACTCCCACGCAACTATGATATATAATGATAATATATATATATATATATATATATATATATATGTGTGTGTGTGTGTGTGTGTGTGTGTGCAGCTTGTATAGATATATGTATATTACACATATAACACCCTAAAAGACGTTAAGGGTACCTGCTGTTTGAATACTCAAGGCTTTCTTCAATGGCTTTAGCAAGTTGCTTACAATATTGTTCATCGTCACACCCAGATTCATTCTCTACTTTAAAAGTAACAAATTTTGCAATAGTTAATTTCATGAATTACTAAAAAAGAGATTAACTAATTATAATCATTGTTAACATGCTTTTATTAGATTATTAGGCTTAATCAGTCTCACCGATTTCAATATTTGGGCCCTTATCTTGTAAATCTAACAGAGAAAGTCGAGTGGCACACTCTATGTCATCAATTTCGTCTTGCCACAATGAATCCTGTATTTTGATGAAGAAAATAAAATTAAAATTTTGACAAAAATAATTATTTTTAAGGCGGATGAAATGGGTGAAATCACAAGAAGGAAAAATAGGGAGAAAGAAAATGACATAATATGGGAAAACGTGAGAGTAGTAGTCGAGCATTACCATTAGATGAGTTAGACAAACGGTGTGGCAAGATATTCCAAATTAAGAAAAACTCTTTTGAAATGGACAAGTACAATAGGCTGAGTGAAGAGTCTGAAGACTACTGGCAAAGGAAATATTTATAGGTACTTTTGGTCCAAAGAAATCTTTTTATAGGTTAGATCATTATAAGAAGCTAGCATGTTGGAAATATATAAATGAAGAGTCATTAAGAGACTATATATATAGAGCAAATCTAAATTTCATGCGCAAAAGCTCTCACATTAATTAGTATTTGCATGATAATTATTATAAAAAACAATAAAACTATTTCGACACGCAAATCTGATATATTTAAGGTTGGTTTGAAATTGTAATGCCTTAAAAAAAATTATTAAAAAATCTAGAACATTAAAGGTAAAATTAAAAAAAAAAAAATCTTTTTTAACTATTGTCAATGATAGTAGAAAAGCAAAGTCTACCATGCTTCTTTAAAAAATGTAGTTTTTTTTTTTTCAAAACATAGTAATCAATGCCTATTTAATGAAATTTTTAAATAGTGAGTATATCCCCACATATTTTATAAAATTACAATCTTTACTTCTACATTAGTGTTTTTGACAATTATTATCACAATAAATACCTTACAACTTTTAGTCATCTAAGATATTCACAATAATTTATATAAAAGTTTATCAAACACTCATACACTTTTTTTTTTTTAAAATCACTTTTACAAAAAAGAGTTCACCAAACATTCAACAACTTTATTTACAGTTGTTTATTCTCATAACATGGTAGAAGCAATTTTTTTTTAAAGCACAACAACACCAAACTAACCCTTAATAGTCTACTATCTAATGGAAATAGGTCATATCATTGTATATAGGTTTCACCTGTATTACGGAGTATATCAACAAATACGCTAATTTTGTGTATCCAAATAGCACTCACTCCTTAAATAATAGAAATTGAACAATACTTTGGGAAATTTTTTAAATGTTTACAAATTTTTTAATTTCTCATATAATCTAAAATTTTAAGAAATTTTTCATATCAATTTTTCACAATCACTAGTTTTTCATTTTTTTTTTTTGAGCAAGCAAACGATATTATTTAAAATAAGGGAGAGGGGTGGGCTTAGCCTCACAATAGGCTAGCAATAATGTGGTTCAAATTCACCTTTGGCAATAATCGAACCTAAAACCTTTCACTTACAAGTAAAGACAAATACAACTAGACCATAGTACTAAGTAGCTTATCTCATCTTAACTTCTTTAAGTTTTCTATTCAAACTAAGTCATGTGCCTTACATATAATTTGTGTTGTTCAGGTTATTTTGGACATTTCAACTCCTCACTCTTCTTCTAACAAGTTGACTTCAAGAATAAAATATTTCTAGGGCTTCTTAATAAACGAAAAATGGGGTTGATTTATAGGATCCGTTGATCCAAGTTTTTCATTCGAAAAGGGTCTAAAATAACCCTAAACACATTAATGGAAAATTAACGATAGATCGGTTAAAATTTTAATTCAATTGCATGCGATACTAGATGACTTTGGGTTTAATTTATGATTTTGAGTGGGGAAACTATGAGAGGCAAGTACAAACCAGCTAAGAGCAAGTCCATCTGTTCTGCCATGGTAAAGGACATGGAGAAGCTAGAGTAAGTACTATTCACGCTGAATAATAATTGCCTTATTATGCGTTCATCCTTGCAAGAATCTCCATGACAATTATTCTTCTCAATTATTTTTTTCTTTCGGATGCCTAATTAAATCATTTAATAATTATCGGACAGGTGATATTAGTTTTAAAAGAAAAATTAATGATAAAAACTTGAAAACTTTAAATGTTAACTAAAAATCATGTAAGAACTTTATTTAATGGTTAGGACAAAGTCCAACATTAAACTAGTCCAATTAAAATTGCTCAAACAACAAATTTCTAATTTTGCCCCGACGGCAGCCTTGTCCGTTTATCATCTCTGTTACTTTCTTCTCTGCTATTCCCTGCCTCCATAACCTCAAATCCCTCATCTGCCTTCATCACCACCAGGAGCCGCAAAGCGAGAGAGACTGCGGCTGGGAGAGTCGCGGCGGCTCCTGCGGAAAATGAACTTAGTAACCCAGCAATTAATCCATGCACATGAAACAGAGGGAGGGCGATAACCGTTGAGTCCGGCTCAGTGAGTTTGTAGACCGATTTGATGTTCTGGACCGAGGAGGCCAAATTGAGTTGCGTCAAGGGGACTCCCTTGGGCCGGCTCGTGGTCCCCGACGTGTGGAGGAAGAGCGCCACGTCGGAGGGGTCGTTGACGAGTTGCGAGACAGAGTCAGGGCTCCCCTCGGCGGCGGAAGAGAGAGTAAGGTGGCTGGCGGCCGCAGATAGGTTGGTGGTCACGTAAGGGATGTTGAGCTTGGAAGCAGCCGCTTGGACCGCATGAATCGGTTCTTGCGGCATGATCATGAGCTTCGATTCCTAGTCGGAGAGGTAGTCGAACTCCTCCACCGTGTACGCCGCACCGAATCACCGCAAAAAACATCACAACAAACTATAGAACGGACAAAAAAAACCGTCAGAATTTTTTTTATCTAATTTAAAAACTTGTTTGTTTGAGGAGAAAACGGTGGAAAATAAAACGATGCGATATGTACCTCGACGGTGTTGGGGAGGGTGAGTGCTTTGTGCAATTCAGGTCCTTTAATGCCATCATGTGCTTTATTAAATGGGTTATTTTTTGATCAATGTGAATTGCAGAGCAGAAGAAGCAGAAATTTTCTGAGATTAAAATTGGACTGGATGATGCCGAAGCTTTGGTAATATGCTGTATAGCATACAAATTTCACTTGTTTTTGCTTTTTCTGGAAAGCTTCATGGTTTATATACTTTCCTTGTTTGTTTATGTGAATGAGTGATGGGATTTCTTTTGGGGGCTTATTGGGTAGTTTCTCGTTCAAGTGTTTGAAGCAGAAACCGTTGACTACTTGAACTACCTTTGCTACTGGCTATGACATGATATGAAAACTGAACCAAAATTGTGTATCCGAACCAAAATAACTTACACTATTCTTATTGTGTATCCGAACCAAAATAACTTACACTATTCTTCAAAATAACAAAATAAACACTATTTATGGAATTACAACAAAATAACTATACTATTTATGAAATTGAACCAAAATAACTCACACTATTTATGAAACTAAACCAAAATAACCCACACTATTTATGAAACTATACCAAAATAACCCACACTATTTATGAAATTAGACACACTATTTATGAAACTATACCAAAATAACCCACACTATTTATGAAACTAGACCAAAATAATCCACATTATTTATGATATTATAGCAAAATAACCCACACTATTTATGAAACTAGACACACTATTTATGAAACTATACCAAAATAACTCACACTATTTATGAAACTAGACCAAAATAATCTACATTATTTATGATACTATAGCAAAATAACCCACACTATTTATGACACTATAGCAAAATAACTCACACTATTTATGAAACTAGACCAAAATAATCCACATTATTTATGATACTATAGCAAAATAACCCACACTATTTATGAAACTAGAGACACTATTTATGAAACTATACCAAAATAATTCACACTATTTATGAAACTAGACCAAAATAATCCACATTATTTATGATACTATAGCAAAATAACCCACACTATTTATGAAACTAGACCAAAATAACCTACACTATTTATGAAACTATAGCAAAATAACCCACACTATTTATGAAAATATAGTACAATAACTCACACTATTTATGAAACTCGACCAAAATAACCCACATTATTTATGAAACTATAGCAAAATAACCCATACTATTTATGAAACTAGACCAAAATAACACACACTGTCACATCCTGGCCCGGGGTCCACCACATCCCGGGCTCGCTCCACCATCGTAGCACTATATTATCCGCTTTGGGCCCCGACCACGCCCTCACGGTTTTGTTTCTGGGAACTCACATAAGAACTTCCAGTGGGTCACCCATCATGGGAGTGCTCTCATGTGCTACTCGCTTAACTTCAGAGTTCCGATGGAACCCGAAGCTAGTGAGCTCTCAAAAAGCCTCGTGCTAAGTAGGAATGAGAATATACATTTAAGGATCACTCCCCTGGGCGATGTGGGATGTCACAATCCACCCCTTTACGGGCCCGACGTCCTCGTCGGCACACCACGGCCAGGGTTAGGCTCTGATACCAAATTGTCACATCCCGGCCCGGGGTCCACCACATCCCGGGCCCGCTCCACCATCGTATCATGATATTGTCCGCTTTGGGCCCCGACCACGCCTTCACGGTTTTGTTTCTAGGAACTCACACGAGAACTTCCCAGTGGGTCACCCATCATGGGAGTGCTCTCGTGCGCTACTCGCTTAACTTCAGAGTTCCGATGGAACCCGAAGCCAGTGAGCTCCCAAAAGGCCTCGTGCTAGGTAGGGATGAGAATATAGATTTAAGGATCACTCTCCTAGGCGATGTGGGATGTCACACACATTATTTATGAAACTATAGCAAAATAATCTACACTATTTTTGAAACTAGACCAAAATAACCCATACTATTTATTAAACTATAGCAAAATAACCCACACTATTTTTGAAACTAGACCAAAATAACTCACACAATTTATGAAACTATAGCAAAATAATCTACACTATTTTTGAAACTAGACCAAAATAACCCACACTATTTATGAAACTATAGAAAAATAATCTACATTATTTATGAAACTAGACCAAAATAGCCCACACTATTTATTAAACTATATCAAAATAACCCACACTATTTTTGAAACTAGACCAAAATAACTCACACTGTTTATGAAACTATAGCAAAATAATCTACACTATTTTTGAAACTAGACCAAAATAACTCACACTATTTATTATACTATAGCAAAATAACCCACACTATTTTTGGTTATGAAACTATAGCAAAATAATCTACACTATTTTTGAAACTAGACTAAAATAACCCACACTATTTATTAAACTATAGCAAAATAACCCACACTATTTTTGAAATTAGACCAAAATTATATCATAATTTGCCATGATCATAATTAAGGGAAATTTTAGTTACATATATATGTTCTTGTTCTAGATTTGAGTTGGAGCATGAGACTAGAGAAGAAGCGGAGGAAAAGTAAATAGCCGGTGTTCAACTTTAAGAAATAGTCAGTGTTTAGTTTAATAAATAGTGATAGTATTAGTGTTTAGTTTAAGAATTAGTGATAATACCCGAGTTCAGTTCTAGAAATAGTTCATGTTCAATTTAAGAAATAATCACTGTTCAGTTCAATTTAAGAAATAATCACTGTTCAATTTAATAATTAGTGATAATACCCGAGTTCAGTTCTAGAAATAATCACTGTTCAGTTTAAGAAATAGTGATAGTACCCATGTCTAATTCTAGAGTTAATATTCAATTATAGGAATAATGTGAATGGGAGGCTAAGGAACCTTGAAACCATATCAAGATTTGCGGAGTTGACCATGACACATAGGGGAAAAGTGAAAGCTATTGTCACATATGTCATTGTAAATTGTAGACCTTAATCTAGTGTTAGAAAGTTGTGTACAATGGAGATAATATGTACAGAATTTCGGAAACAAGGAGACTAGACTGGCTTTTGGTTAAAAATTTAAAAGAGGAAAGCATTGCTCCAGTAGCTTTGAGGTGATGCAATGCTTTTGGGTAAAAATATGGTATGTAAAAGTTTTCCAATTTTCAAATAAGAAATGGTTGCTTGCAACCATGATAGTTTTTTGTGTTTGAAATGACCTAGTTGTTGCAAATTGCAGGAAGTACATGCACTTCATAATTATTTTGCATAAAAATTGTGTTGATGCCATTTAATTTGCTTTTTTTTTGCTACAATTGAGTTTGTAAATTGTCTCTGGAAGACATCATTGAAATTAGTCATTTGAATACGTTTAGGCTGTTAAGTTTTACGAATTTTTTTTTTAGGTCAAAGGTAAATAAATATTTGGAATAAAAAACATAGCAATTTTTATTCCTAAAGAATGTTAAACACGACCTATAAATAAAAAAAAAGTTAATTGCAGAGCTATGGTAGTTATGATCTAGTGAATGGTTATTTTGTTTTAGCTGGCAACCCACGTTTGTTACTCGAGAATAGCTACGGCAGTTAATTGCAGAGCTATGGCAGTTATGGTCTAGGGAAAGAAAAAAAAGTTGAAAATAAATTACTTTTTGTTTTATATGACTTTTTGGGTTAGATGGCAATTTCGTAAATAATATGAAGTTGTATTAACAGATTTTGGTTAACATCTGCTGGGGGCAAAGCTGGAAGAAAAATTTGTTGTTGCATGCTGGGCTTTTTGCTTCAGCCCGTGTGATTTTTTTTTGGACCTGTTGTATGTTACTTGTGTCATTTTCATTAATATCAAGCCATTTTCATTAAATAAAAGTTGTTAATGGTTTTTGGTTAAGAAAAAGTTGATCCAAGTCCTTTTCATTAAAGCTCCCAGTTTTAAATAGGTTGCTCAAAAATCACCATGTGTCCTTGGAAAACATGCAAAATGTTTTGTGTAAGACCATGATTTTTCAGGGCTGGAGTAAGGCCGATTAGAATACGAATACCTTAGAAATTGGGGGTCACACACAAAACAGCTCCAACTAGGTTGAGCTGCACAAACAGACTAGCTATGCCACAAGATCCTACGTTCTGGGAAGGTAGGCAAAGTCCATCAACTTCATCAAGATTGACCATTCTCTTGTTCTTCAAGATACGAAAATCTGATCCGAATGGGGATCCTATAAGTTTCCTGTATTCTTGGAAATTCCTACAATCTAGATATTGGCGTGCGCTATAAGTAATCACACTCATAAGAGGATACAATATCTACTCTTAGATATCTTATGTGATTCTCTATGTTTATTATAGATTCTATATCCTATGGACTAGTATAAATACACATTTCAAGTATTCATCTCTGGTAACACAATTATCGCATACTTGATTCTCTTGTGTACTGCTTGAGTATCATAAATTACTTATTAACTTGACCGTCGGAGAGCTTTTGGCCCATACCCCGCCAGTGCCTAGGTATCTTACGATTGTTTACTCTTTTACAGGTGGGCGAGTTTGTACATCTTCTTCACACACGGTTCTTGGTACTTGGTTGAGAGTGAACTCATATTCTCCCGACCAAATCACTCTGCCACAATCATGTATGCCGATGAAAGTTTAATGAACGCTCATGTTAACACCTCAACGGAAAACAATTTATTTACCGACGCCTTTACCACCCTAGGTGCAAGCAATGAGGTCTCCGACCCTTCAACCGTCCCAGGGAATAACGGGCAAGCAATGCAGTCCTAGATTATAATTAAGTAATTAACTTAGGTTTTCAGCTAATTTTGTAACCGAAAATCCTATTTTCTTTTCCATCTATTACGGACTTCTTTGACACGATACAATACACAAGCATGAAAAACTACAGTCATCAATCATGGAAAAAAAAAGAAAGAATTTTAATCATATCAACAATTAACGGAAACTACGAACGGACTAGTGTAATTTTTCTTCGGTTAATTATAAAATCAAATTCTTTTGTTTATGCTTCTAATTTTATTTTAACCTATAAAATAAATTTAGAACAATATAATAAATAAAATTATTTATTAAATTCGTGCATAATAAAATATACAACGAAAAACACATTACAACTATGCATAACACATACTTTGTTGATTAACCATGACTCTAATACCATTGTTGGGCTACTTTAGTACATGTGTGTGGAAGTGTGGAAAGATGACTTAAGCATATATAATCCAATTTACATGTATGATTAGCGGAACTTTAGATTCCGTTTAATCTTATTAAATTAATCCATATGATTTAGGTTAATCGACGTGCTTGTATTCATGTAAAACAATTTTAAGAACCCATGCATAAACTTAAATTAAGTTTAGAACCGCATCCTTTAGATTTCGTATAAGGATGAATTCATTATTGAGGCTCCAAGT